CAGATGGCTGTCAATCTGCCATCCTTGACCAGATTTTGAAACAAATTGTCATGGACATGCATCCTAACATGTATAAAGTACATGTATGCACCAAATTTGAATGAAAACTGACAGAGCACGTCCAATATACCACATAAAAAAACAAAAAACAAGATGCCTGCCAGTTGACCATCTTTGATCCAATTGCAAAATAAATCGTCATGGACATGGATCCTAACATGTATAATCTATGTACCAAGTTTGAATGACAACTGACAAAGCATGTCCAAAATACAAACAAGATGGCTGACAGTCGGCCATTTTGAATCGAATCGCTAAACCACTGCATGTGCATATGTCCACACATAAGGTATTAGGCACATGCAAAGAATGAACGAAATCGGTCCACAGGATTCTGAAATATATGACTCTGGACAGACTGACGCACGGATGGACGGACACACGAACTGACGGACACACGGACTGACAGACTGACGAACACACGGACTGACGGACGGACAGACGGATTCTGGAACTCATGGACGGTCGAGGATATGTATCCTAACATGTATGATCTATTTACTAAATTTGAATGAAAACTGACAAAGCATGTCCAAAATAAGATATTTTCAAGAAACAAGATGACTGCCAGTCAGCCATCTTTGATCCAATTGTGAAATAAATCGTCACTGACATGTATCCTAACATGTATAATCTATGTACCAAGTTTGATTGAAAACTGACAAAGCATGTCCAAAATACAACATTTTCAAAAAACAAGATGGCTGCCAGTCGGCCATTTTGAATCGAATCGCTAAACCACTGCATGTGCATATGTCCCACATAAGGTACTAGGCACATGCAAAGAATGAACGGAATCAGTCCAAGGGATTCTGAGATACGACTCCGGACGGACGCACAGATGCACGGACGGAGACCGAATTATAAGTCCCCGTTTTCGGTCTTCATCTGAACGGGGACTAAAAATATTACAGTCTATTTGGAACACAGTTGTGTTAACTTGATGTACGATAAACTCCCAGCATGCGTTGGGGTAAACAAGCCAACCAGAGACTGTTACAAGAGAAAGTATCAGTAACCATGACAGATCTCAGCAGTCAGAAAGTGTTAGTGAAGAACCTACAGAAATTCAGCATGATACATCTATAGAATTAGAGACTGAAAACAGAGAGACAGGAGAGATTCAATAAGATATGTCTGGAGACCAAGAAAATGATAACGGAGAGACTGGGTTAGGTATTAGAAATTTGGCAGATATTTCAAAAATAAAACCAGGAAATACAGTTAAGTATACTAATAGACAAAATGGTGATACACTTACAGCCAGAATTATTAGTAGAGCTGGCAAAGTACATGGCAATATAATGAGCCTGATAAGTTAGATGGCATAAGCCAGTCAGTAGATTTAAGTAGAGTTGATAATCTTGAGATTCTAGAAACTTCTCCGGTTGATGTAAACATTCCTGATGAAAGTGTCATGCTGTTAGAGGACATTTCAATGACTGAGGCAAAATTGACAGAGCTAGACAGTTGGAAACAAAACAAAGTGTACAAAGAGATACCAGATGAAGGACAGAAATGTATATCTACAAGATGGGTATGCACATTAAAAGCTACGGGTGATAGGATAAAACCCAAGGCAAGATTAGTAGCTAGGGGGTTTGAGGAGATAGATAATGATCAAATTCAGAAAGATTCACCCACATGTAGCAAAGAGTCAATGAGACTTATTTTGGCTATCATGGCTCAGAATAGATGGAAACCTCGATCCATGGACATTAAAGTGCCTGTGAAATGGCTGCTATTTTCACGCCTAAAATTATCTATTGATACATAAATATTATTAATTTATATGTTTCTAAGCATGAATTATTTTTTTAAGTGAAAAAATGTGTTTTAAACTCAATCTATGGCAACTTATTTTTGTGTATTTTAAAACGAGGCTCCTCATTAGCTTCTTATTTGCATACAGAAATTCCCCTTGTGACGTCAGAAGGGGAAGTCGCATGGCAGCTTGCACTGCCGATACGTGTAAATAAGGCAAATTTCTTGTGCAGTTTTCTCGT